TCGAAAAGACGACAACGACAATAACATTTTTGGAAAATTATAAATTCTTAAACACTCATATGTGGAAAAAAAAAATTAATTTGTAAATGATTTATTAATTAAAAAAAGGCTTTTTCTTTTTTTCTTCTTTATTTTCTTTCATTCTTCTTTTCTTTTTCTTTTTTCTTTTCATTCTTTTTCTCCTCTTTTCCGGCAAGGGTAAACGAAACCTATTTTTAAATATTTCTAACAAGTGTCATCAAGAAACCAACAAAAACCCTTTTTTTAAAATTTTTATGTGATGTCATTTTTGTAATTTTTTCATCAGTTTCTTAAAAAATGTTGCTGATAAATCAATTTAAAAAAAAAATAGGTAACACACACACACACACACACACACAGAACCAGAGTCCGTTACTTTGTAAAACACAACAGTAACACACAACGTGTTGCTTGTCAACTTGGTTCAAAGGTTAAGTAATTGGTACTGAGTCAGATTTATTTTGTTTTTAACTACACTGAAAAATATAAACGAGTGTCTCATTTAGGACACCTGAAGTATGGATAACGAACAAGGCCTGATGTTGTTATCCAAAAATGACAAAAGAATATTCTCAACAATACGTTTTTTAAAAGTAAAACTCTGAAATCGAAAGCCCAATATAACAGACGGCAGAATCAAATTCACAATTATTCAATAAAACAACTCTACATATTTTTCTTGAACAAATGACGAAATATTTCTAAAAATTAGTTTGAAATTGACTGCTAAATGGAAAAAAGTCGATTGTTTGAAAATTGTTTCAGGGAATTATTTTTTCTTGTTAAAAACGAAAATATCCTTTTTTAGTCAAAAAACAATTTTAAAATAAATTTAAACGTCTTGTTAAAAAAAAATGTTAAATTTCATTTCAATTGAATACATTTTTGAAGCGTTCAGTTTCTTTTTAATTACGAGATCTTTAAAATTAATGACGAAAATTATTTTTAGTTGAAAATTTTATTCATTTTATCCCACGGTTGGTTTTCTTAAGGAATTTCGTTCATCTGGGAAACTCCAAGGGAAGATCACTTTAAAAAGTAAAAAAGAAAAAGAAGAAAAAAATAAGAGGGCGAAAGCACAAAATCCACGCACTTGCAATGTGTTTTAACAACACTGGCAATGGGCGGAGTTTAACACCTCCTGCTATTTTTACCATCTCAATTAGGTTGTGTACTAGATTTGTTTCGGCAATAGTGTGGCTATCTATGTGTATATATATATGCGTACAATAGTAGGAAGGTCAGTATTTTGCAGAAGTCGTTGTTAGAAGTAAGTATTTACAGGCACCTTGCTGCCGACTTCTTTACAATTACGTTTTAGTACTGACTTAAATGTCAGACAGATTTTAAAATTTACTTATTTTTTTTTTAAGGCTGGTTTGTAAAAAAAAAAGGAAACAATTACTTAGCCGATTTTCTTCACACTTTTTACACAGCTCTGTTAGGTTAAAAAATCTTTTACTTTTAAAATGCTTATTGTCGCCCTGTCGGACTTTACAACAACAACACAAACAAAACATTCTTCTTGTGGATTATTTGCCAACATATGCTTTCCGTTTTTCGGATTATTTATTTTTATGGGATTTACAACATTCATTTTTGGTGGGAATGGGGAAAGATAAAAAAAAAAAAAATAAGTTTTGTAAAATACGTGGAGGAAAAAAAAACAAAAAAAACATTTTTTAAAAAAAACTCCAGCAGTTGGACCCAGGATTTATTTTTGATTTGTGTGTTTATTAATCAACTTTTTGGGGAGTATACCAGATGATTTTTTTGTTTCTCGTGGGTAGGATTGCTTTTATTATTTATCTAAATTTTTTGTGTGCTTTCAGGAGTTTTTTTTTTTTTTTTTCTTTTTTTTTTTTTATAAAAAGATTACAATATTAATTTTAAATGTTATTTCTTGATTTTTGGTTGCCTTTGTTTTGCTTTAATGCAAATGTTTTATTTCATTGTCTTAACTTTCAAAACCTCTACGAAATATGCATTACATAGGCTTACAAAAAAAACAGCAACGTTTTCCGTTAAATAAATGAAATCTATATTCTTCTAGCAACAGTTTCAAACTTATTTTCTCTCTTTCCTTTTTAGCAAAAAGTAGGCCACATAAAAACACTGGTTAACATTTTAACTGTGGTATAAATTTTTAAGTTTTTGAATTTCCAAGCCATAGAGAGCAGTTTTAATTTGTTTAATTTTTTTCTTTCTTTTCTTTTTTTATTTTTTAAATTTATTATTTTTTTTTGTTTTTTTACTTCTATAAAATTAAAAACTACCAAATCCTCAACAAGTAAGACTTTAAAATTAAAAAAAAATTCGTGTATCACAAATTAATTTAAAAAAAAAAACAATTAACTTTTTAATACTTCTGCGTCATTCTCTTCTCCCACCCCCTTTATTGGGTAATTTTTTTTTTCCTACTTTTTAATTTATCAGTTCACATTTGTTTACATTTTCTTCCATATTTCTTGTTTACATT